AGTGGCCATAAAAGTTGATGCTTAATTTGTTTACTCCGGCATGCAATGGATTGTCATTTCGCATCATATTTTACTTGAAAGGATCTGTTACTAGCTTTTGGCTCTGCGTCTATGAACAACGTATATATTAGAGTGCAGCTCTTAGGCGCCCGCTTCCGGCTTGAGCGGCGTCGGCGCCGCCGTCGGCGTCGCCGTTGCCGTCGGCGTAACCGCGCGGTGCATTATGGGTAAATTTCCCCGCCAAATCTAGCGGAAAAATTTCCCCGCTAAATCTAGCGGAAAAATTTCCCCGCTAAATCTAACGGAAAAATCTCCCCGCTAAATTTAGCGAAAAAATTTCCCCACTAAATCTAGCCGAAAACATTTCCTCACTTAATCTAGCGCAAAACTTTCCCCGCTAAATCTAGCAGAAAAATTTCCCCGCTAAATCTGGCGGAAAAATTTCCCCGAAAAATCTAGCGGGAAAGTTTCCCGGCTAAATCTAGCGGAAAACATTTCCTTACTAAATCTAGATGAAAAATTTCCTCGCTAAATCTAGCGGAAAAAATTCCCCGCTAAATCTAGCGGAAAATATTTCCCCGCTAAATCTAGTGGAAAAATTTCGCCACCAAATCTAGCGGAAAAATTCCTCTGGGGGTCATGTTACTTCCCGAGGTCACGTGACCCCCGTGGTCACGTGACCCTCACGTGACCTTGGCGAGGGGGCCATGTGACCCACCAAGGTCACGTGACCATACTCCAGGTCACGTGACCGTACCCCAGGTCACGTGACCCCCCACCCCCGAGAACACGGGAACCTCAGTACCCTTCCCTTAGCAAAAAGAGGCCGTACTTCAAGCGAAGTTGAGATATATTTAGTACGAATATTCATTTTGTATTTATTCTGTATTATTTTGGCCGCATTCGAAATACGCGCGTAAGGTATTCAAAATACATTATAAATATGAATAAAAAATATTTTAGATATACCAAAAATATTATTCCTTCACACTCAAGATGCTATTTGTGCATTAAAATCCGGTTACACAATTTTTTTTTATTTTCGATTTTGTCAGCAAATGGTGTCCCTGTGGTATTTGAAGGCATTACTAAATACATCTCACAAAGCTACATTAGAAACGAACACAAACACAAACACCATGACGCACCGAACAGCTCATTCACATTCCCGTTGACTGCTCTAGAACCTTATATAGCCTACATATTGAAGGTAATAATTTTTTCGGTGACCACCTCTGCGCTTATTAAGGTTCCAAGTATTCGATTTTTTCCTCGGGAGTCTGTCAAAGGGGAAACAGTGTTTTGAAGGTCGTGGACGATACCTCTTACTAAAAAGCATTGCTACAACTAATAACAATTCGGCGCAGTCCCTAAGACTATATCCACACAAACGGCTCATAAAATACATGTTATTGCTTCTCTGCGTAGCACCACTCAGAACGAAGTGATTCAAGGCAGTTTCTTCACTTTAAAATACTGTAAACGACTTTATTTTCGTGAGGACTTAATTCTCGCAAAGTTCGCGAATCGCCTACAATTCCGAAAAATAGGTCCCGTGAACAATTCCGGCAAAATGTAAAAACATTAAAATCTATATTGCCATCCCAGCGCGTCGCGAAAATCAGAATTTGCGAATTATTTCAAAACTCCAACTTTGACCTAAATCGCGAAATATTGAGCCAACGAAAAATAAATATCTTACAGTAGTTGTTTTGCCTTTCCTTTTTAGTAGTTGACTATTTAATATGGTAGTTAATGTCACTATATTAAAGTAACTATTCACATCACGTACAATGGTGAGTATACACGTTCAGTGAACTAACATTGTGCTAACAAAACCACGCCAAACGTATCTGTTCACAGCACCTGCTGAAGCTTTCCAGCATCAGCAATAGTTATGGTTGTAGTTCTTGAACCCCGTTTGTGAATGGTGTGCAAGGAACTGATCAGGTGTGTTCTTGATAGAAAAAAGGAAACAATAACATAAACTGGGCTGATTTATCAGTGCGATGCTGCGAAATTCACTTGACAAACTAATCAAATGTATTTAGGCGCTGCAGTGTACTCCATATCTGCTTGAAGTGAACTTCTACAAGGGGAGCTTTTCAATATTTTGGTAATTTAAGTCAAACTACCAAAGTATTGCAGTCAAAAGGTACTTAGAGTATAACACAACAGTATTTACGATTTTCAGGTATTTTAAGAGTATTCTGCACGTAGTTTTGATTGCTCCATTTTTTTAGGGTTGGAGTATATTTTGCATGAATTAAATAAATATTTCAAGAAATATATGTGAAAGGTATTTTGTGCGTATTAATTTAGTATTTACATATTTCAAAACGCATGAAGGGAACTTCAAGTGTAGTTTAAGTAAAGGTATTTTAAAATGATATTACAAGTATATTTTAGTACTAAGTAAAAAAAAAAAAGAAGTTTATATTTTCGGTCTATTTTTTGTGTACTTACAATTATGAACTGTATTTCAAATACACTCACATTAGAATGTGGTATATTTCAAACGTATTAGTTTTCGCTAAGGGTTCCCTCCTCCTCCTCAAGAGCTGCGCTCTAATTCGGCGTTACAGGGAGTTGTAAATGGCTTTCATTTTTTTATTTGTATCTTTCTTGATGTTAATAAACTTGAAAGCTTGATCACACTCGTATTAGACCAGCCCAGCAACGCCCGTTTTTTCAATAGACGCTTCGGCGCGTGCCTCTCACCTGGTCTTGCTTCCCGCGATATCGTCGTTTTGCAAGATCACCTTCCTGCACGGCCAACATTGTCAACACATTTCCACATATTTTGGCACTTTTGACGATTTTTTCAGGAGTATCAGTAGCATATGGAGCATTAAGCGCAATGAAAACCGATACAACGGCACGATGTCAACGCGTTTTGATTACGAGGAGGCTGCCCCTCATTTGTAGTTCGTATACAAGCTCCTAGACGGCGCTCTTTACTCGAAAAACGTTCATTGGTCCCGAGCCCGTAGCCAACTGTCCTTCGACGCTTTGATTGGACACGAGGCCTAGCCAAGCGCTGACGCAGAACTCGTGCTCAATCTGCGTCTGCACTCGCTCTCTGTGTCTTGACGTCGAAACATTGGTGCCCGGGCTTTGATTACTCTTGGTCAGAGCTCGAACTTCGGCTGAGTAGCCGGATTGGGGATTTGTCGCAGTCTCGACCACCGGAAAATAAATAACCGCATATAAACGACGAATATCTGTGTAAAATGTCTAATTACCATTTAAATGCACTAATTCTAAAAAGAGTAAAAGTAAAAAAAAAACAAAGAAAGGTTAATAAATAAATAAACTTTAGTTTGACAGTACACATTGAACTATTATGACAAAAAAACGTTTGACCCAGAAAACGCACCAGACATAAATCCTGGCTAATAGAAAAAAAAAATTGCCCTATTCACAAAGAGTAAAATGCTTCAGAATAATAGAACTCAGGAGTAAACTATGCAAAACGTATAATAGAAGACGCCAAGCGCAATGCGTACATCAGATGCAAAGGAAGTTTAACACAGTTAAAGTGAAAGAGCACAAAATACTAACATTGGTGATCGTGGGGATTCTAATATGCAATAATTATGGCACAATACTTTGGGCGGGATATAAATCAGAACGGATACGACTCCTTTAATGCACGTCGCGCCGCCGCAAATTTTTTTTACGTGCGTTTAAATTTGCGTTGATAGGAGCGGGCCTGCCAAAAGCAGGCCGCGGACCAGACCTCACTGGAGGAGCTGCCGCCAGCCGCGGTTTGGTCGAAAGGCTTTCGCGGCCGGGGTTTTCTTGATCCCTGCTCCAGTTGGTTTTGCCGTAAGGTCATAGGCCCTTCCTTTAAACCGAGTTTATTTCACTCACTAGGGATTACTGTTCTGATTTAGCGTACTCGACACACATGCACATGAACGTAAATATCACCAGGAAAAGAGGACGGAGCGCACGCTTGGAGGAGAAATCGCGCTGAAGCTCGTAACTTTTTGAGCTCGCCTTCCTGAACGGTCAAACTCAGTCGTGCTACCATCTTATCTATCTGTAAATAATATCAACATTAAATCATCGTATTACTAATATCCTTACAATATTTACAAACTTTTACACAAACGGCCACCATTTGCCGGCTGAGGCAGTAGGGACCAGCAGACTTGGCACGTCTAGCAAAATTCGAATTCTTATAGTACTAAAACTGAGCAAGTGAACGCCGTATCGCAAAACGTTTAGTCTATTTTTATTAAATATCAAAACAGAGGCAGTGAGCTAATAACATTTGCGAAAAAAAGCTGAGACCGTGCATTTTTTATGCTATATATATCGGATCTGTATCGTCCACATACTGGTTTGCAAACTTGCTCCCAAGAGGTCATTCTTCTCACATATCGTTGAAAGTATTAATTATCGTGATTATCGTGCTCCTCGCCAGCTTCTACTAGGCAGTAAAATGGATGGGCGGGCTAGTTGGTACATGTTTAACTTCTGAAGCGCCTAAAAAACGAGGACGCGAGGAAGAAGAGGCGTTCTCAGCACTTTTGTGTTCAGCAAGCAACCCGGGATCGAGCTCGCAAACCAGTCAGCAGTCAGAAACAGGGTGGTATAGACCTAGAAAATACGCGGCCGCCTTGTTTTGTCTTTATTTTTAGTATTTCATCCTCCCTGAGTTCAGATTTTTTTTTTAATTACACATAAAACTTTTTTTTTAAAACGACGTTCGGGTGTCCAGCTTTACCTATCTAGGTTCGGAATTCTGATTTTGCAAACGAGCCAAAAGTGCTGGTGCTCATGTCCTGACCTTGTAATTTTTTTTTTGCGGACTAAAGTATAGGGATAACTTGTTTATTATACGCACATAAAAGTTGACATTCGCAATTAATGTCAATTGTGAAGAGCAGCCTTTAATGTTTTTGATTTGATGTCGCACTGATATAAATTGCAAGAATATTTATAGTTTTTGGCGTTATGCGAACAGACGCGGGGTTTCTTTGACTTACCTCTTGAAATGCTACGTGAAATTTGTCAATTTTAGGGAAATATAGTGGATCTTCAAAGATTTTGTCCGTTAAGGCAGTGCCCGCTTCCTCCAATGCTTTTTTTAAGAGCGTCGTGTAAATGTGCCCTCGTTCCTTCGGTTGGTCTACATAGTCAGCAAGCAATTCCACGTACCTGTCCACGATCGGAGCACCAATCTGCAAAAGTAAAAAAAAAAAAAAAAGTTCCGTTTTGTTTGCGTGATTTTCAAGTGCTTATATACGCGACTGCAAGCTGGCCAACTGGCCGCCGCCCTGTCGCTGCTCGTGTGAGCAAGGCTGTGCAATTGCAAGTTCGCCAAAGCCACGTCCCCGCGCCCTCTCACGTGCTTGCACGCATGCACTCTAAAAAAAAAAAGTGTACTGGGTACACCCACATGGGGTGTAAGTGTTCCCACATATACTACAACCATAAAGGTGTACAAGTACACCACAAGACAAGGTACGTACATACACCATTTTCAGGGGTGCAATGTGCACCCTTTTATACTCCTGCAGTATTCGGGGGTGCACAAATACATCCTATACTGGGATGTGTCAATACTCCATACTTACACTCTCACTGTCGTTTCGGTGTGCAGGTACACCCCATTTTAAAGTGTGCAATTATTTACTTCTCTACACCCACGGAATTTCTTGGAAGCAAAGATACACTTGCCAACAGGGTTTGCTACTACACCGTTTTTTACACCCACCCTGCTCATAGGGAACATAGATGCACCTCATTTAAAGGTGTACCATTACAACTCTTTGTAAATCCACCTCATGGAAACCTGTGAAATAATCTACGCTCCCAGGTGATTGCAAAAAGGCAGGTAAATATACACAAAGTACTGTTTTCAAATCTCTTAGAAGTTTATTAATCAGCCTATTCCGTAAACAAGTACAAACTTGCAAGCAATTCGTGATATGTGAAGAGGTACAACGACGCTGTTACACAAGTCAGATTACTGAGCAAACAAGAACCGGGGTGATTCTTAGGTAGTGTCTATTATCCCAGCAGCCGGCAGAATTATTTCCACAAAATTCTACCGGCCGTCGCCGCTCATTGGCGGTACAATCACTTCATCGTACGACGTTTCGTTGACACGGGATGTTTCATAGACAGCTCAGATTAGTTATCCTCTATTCACTTCTTTTTTTTTTTCTTGTAATGATCCTCCCCAGACTGTATCCGCGAAGTGACGTGTACGGGTGGCACAGGTGGGTTATCATATTTCTAACAAGCCGCCGCAGACCGTCGCCACGAAGCGGCGTGAACGGGTGCGCTGGGTTGGTGAGCACGCGCCTCAAAGATACACACGCGACGAAATGTCCCTACAGCGTGCATTTCGCGTAACGAGTGACGATGAAACATTAGTGTCGACGAAACGTGTCTACTAGACGTGTAGCAACAAAAAGGTGTCCATAAAACGTGTTTTCACAAAACGCCGGGGGAATAAAAAAGTCAGTATTCTAGCTGCAGTTGTCACATAATTTTAGACAGCTAATGGCTTGCGATTGCCTGAAAAATTTTGGGAACACAATTCTCCCGGCGGCTAGGAAAAAGACACTGCCTAATCGCAGAGGTAATCCGAACGGAACGGTCCAATGTTGCAAAGGAGTAGGTTGCAGCGCGCTTACAATTAAAACACGGGACTTCAAAGATGTAATCCAAGATATATGTCGACACCGGCACTGCAGAACAACCACACACGCACACAAAAACGACAAAAAAGATGTCCGTGAAGATTTAACACGATGTGGCGGAAGCATTTATCTGCTGTACCAAACATTAAACGCATCAACAATAATTTCATGACCTTTTGTTTTGATGAAATCGCTTGTTGCCGATATACGCCTAGGAATTTTCAAACACTGGTAGCCTTAGTACACTCGAATACGTTGTCGCGGACAAAATGTATGGCAGCTGCGCATGTCGAAGCACAGCACACAAGACACTAGGCAAAGAAGCAGGCGTTCTGGGATCGGAAAGAGCTACTACGTTATCCGTGAAACTTTTACCACGTGATCACGCTCCTGCGGTTACCCGTCTCCAGAGAGCCTAGTCAAGTGATAAAAAAGCTTTCGGTTTATAGGTCCGGCGACTGCGCACCTTATTCCACGATTTAGCTTAGAGAGAAAGAAAAAAGAAGGAAGCAACAGGAAGGCAACTGCTCCTTCAAGGCCAGAAAGGGGTATGCTCACAAAGGCTTATCTTCAGGGGCATCCCAACAATGAATACAACAAGAGTATTTGTCACTTATATCCTCTTGAAAGTTCAACTCAAAGTTGACAGTGCAGTGGATGCTATCCGTTGCCTTCGCCTTCAGGCAGGTCCCACGCTCTTCCTTATCTCTAGCTTGGGGATTGTAGTCACGTGACTCTACCCGGATACACGATTGGCCTATAACAAGCATAGCGTATACTCTGCTGTCAATACCGAGTGAACAGGACAGCTCCATACTTCCAAAGAAACTGCTCAACCCAAAAGTGACCCCCAAAACGGGAAATTTGAAGATCCTATGTTTTACACCGTATAGCCCACATTATAAAAAATGAAGGATTAATTGCGACGACGTTGACCGCGACCGCGTTAACTGACCGCGTTCGCTCTGCTAAAATTTGAGTGTGGACTCTCGAGCAGCGTTAGCTTGCTGATGATGCAGGGCGCTGCTTTATCGTCGAGAATCATTTTGCCCTGCGAACGTGAAAACGTTCTCGTCCTCGCTGTACCCTGTCAGTAACCGCCCGCGAAGCATCGAACACCTTATTGCTGCCTGTTGGCAGTCTACGAGCGGCGACAGTTTACCGTCGCGTCACCCAACCGTTTCAAAGCTCACTCTAGTACATCACTGGCGTCAATCACCACAATAGCGTCAATAGCGTCACGGCGCTGCCCGCCACCCGCCAAGAACCACGTTGTTATAACAACAAAAACAAGCCAGCACTCTGCACATCTACGTCGCCCTGCTAATTTCTTGGTTCTTTTACGTGGGGTTTGATTTTGAACGTCTCAATTTTAACCGAAGCAAATAGCTTTCGCTGGAACAGAAATAATTGTCCTAGCACATATATAAAACATTACTGACATAAGCTTATTTTTAATCAATATATAAGAACCCTCATGTTTAGGTTTCTCCAAAACACAAAGCCCGAAAGATCCAACCTTATTCGATCCAAGGAGAAGCTGATCGGGGCGCGTGGCTAGCGTGGCGGTTTGCTAAGGTGGGTGCACTGATACAACTAGAGGTTTTTAAGGCAGAGGAGGGTGCTCATGGTCGGTGTAGATGTACACTGGCTGGGGAACGGAGAGAGCATCTTGCAAGAAAGGGGTGCACATGTGCCCGATGCACCCGACTACACCTTTCTTTTTTTCTTAGGGTGTGGGGAACCAGCCGCGCCGACATGCTTGACAAAAAAGGGCTCCTGGGCGTTTCCATTTTCAGCGTTTGTGAGTATGGCGCGTGATTTGCTCGCTTTCCGAAGCAATGAACTTGCGCGTGCTGGGATGAGGAGGCCGCACTCTGTGTTGCGGACTTGTAAATATTGGAATGGTGTATACCAACGCGCGGCTATGATGCCTGGCTGCTGCGGTGGCGCTTCTATCGGCACGGTGCTCGCGCTTCACCTGACCCACACCTGGTCTCTGCGCACGTGCTGTGCGTGCCCAACCACCCCTGGCTTTGTTAAACTCAGGCTTCTTTGTAAACAACGAAACGGAGCGACGTTGGCGGGACGTGACAGACCGGATCTTTTCTGCCGAAAGCAGTAGTCAGAGGATGCGAGCTTGACCCATTTTAGCCTTCGTGCTGAGCAGGTACTGTGCACGTGCATGCTCAGTGCTGAATTGTTCAGGCAGACCGAGGTGAGTGCGAAAGAGCCCCTCCTCGGACGACGAAGGAAGGTTCGTCGGAGATGGGGCCGTCTTGCCATCATGTCAGCACGATGTTCTTGTATACACCAAACAACGTTACAAGATTAGCTCAGTTACGGACTGCACATAGGCGCTGCTTCCACGAGTAGTAACCACCCACCCCCTCCCCCGTTTTTCATCCCACGTCCAGGCTCGCGTCTTCTGCGTGTTACGGTTTTGATCGCTGCTGCTATGATAACTAGTGCAGTACATTCTATGGAATACATATGTTTCGAAGCACATAGTCTAGGTTCCATTGTACTTGATGAAACAAAGAGTTTTTAAATGCGAATCTAGCTGACGTGTGGAGGTCCCGCGGAGGGGGTACCCCCTCCGCGAGAGCTCCACAACTGATTTATTTTAGAATCATTACTATAGATTATATCTAATCTATTCAATATTGACGTTGACACCAACTCAACTCTTCTACGTCACGCAGCGGCAGTGGCGCTTAAATGGATGCTAATAGCCAGAATAGCCACATGAAGCTCTTCGAGTATGTGGACAGATAAATAGCTGCAAATTATATATACTAATTAATTATACCCATCTCAGCCAATTCAAGAAAACCAGGTCAGGAATAAATGCTTATAGCCAATAATAGCCAATCCAAGCCAACCAGGCCGAAAATAGATGCCTATAGAAAATAACCAACTGAAGTAATTCAAATCTATACGCACTCGAAATGCATGAATTGACAATAATAGTTGCTGATAACCTTGTATAGCACTTTTGAGCCAATCAAATGAAAATAAATGCTTAGCCTCTAATTGCAATTTGAAGTCATTTTCATATGTAAACACATAAATAGCACAGCATCATCAGCTATATTCGCGAATAGCTAGCTGCATACATGTGAACCAATCTTTTAAAACAAAAACTGCTAATTGCCAGATATAGCCACATGCACACATTCATTTTGTCGACGCACAAATAGCTAATAATTATTAATATTTGTCACTTTACCATTTATAGTCAATTTAAGCCAACCAAGTTAAGAAAAAATGCTTATATATTATCAATATTAGCAATACAAGCCAACGAATTCAAGGGTAGATGCCTGTAGCCAATATCAGCCAGTTAAAGTTAATAAAATACATAACACTCCAATTGCATAAATTTTCAATTATAGTAATAGTCAATGATAGTCATGCAAGCCATTTTAAGCCAATTTGGCCAAGAACTCCCCCAACCCCCCCCCCCCCCCCCCCCCAATCGTGGACTCTTCAATCCATTTATATACAAAAAGTCATAAATTGCACAT